ACCTCGCTCAGCCAGTGAGTGGGAACTGGTCTGTATGTGGGATCTGAACCCTCGGCGGGAGGCACCACCGCGCTCCCAAGCGGCGCACTGTAGCAGTGCGCCACTGGGCCGGCCCTGTTTAATTTAGTTTTAAAAAATTAATTAACTCTTTAATTGAAAAAGAATCATCATGTACACCATGTAAAAATGCAAACAAGACAGAACTGTTAATATGGAAAGGAAGACTTCCCATTGTAGACCTGCAGGCCCTCAGGCCTCCTCTCTCAAGGAAACTACCTTCACATACTCATGTCTCCTTCCAGAAATAAAACAATTATATACTGTACATATATTTTACTTCCTCCCCTTTTTACTTATCCAGGAGAATTCCATTCGTATTGTTATATACCTGGTGTTTGTTTTGTTGTCATTTTATTTTTATTTTACCAATGTAGCTTGGAAGTTGCTCGAAATAATCAAGTAAAGATTTTTCTCATTCATTTGCAAGGTTGTACTGGTTTCCATTATATAAAGACGTCATAAGTATTCAGACCTCTTACAAATCAATAAGAAAAAGATGAACATCCTATTAGGAAAAAATGGGAAAGGGCATGTGAAGTCCTTAAAACAAGAAATATGTATGACCAGTAAACACACACACACGAACTCAATCTCACTGTCAAAGAAATTAAAAATAAAACTATTGGTACCATTTTTTATCTATCAAATTGGAAAATATTTACAAAAATGATAATTATTCAGCATTGACTAGGATGGGGAGAAACAGGTCTTATTCACTCTTGGTGGGAATGCAAACAGGTACAACTATGCTGGAGATAGTGTGGCAATCAGCATTGAGTATCTAAAATGGTTCTACCCTTTGACCACCTGCAGCAATTTATCTTCAGGGAATAAGAAGAATCATGCAAACATTTATATATATATATACATTGCAGTATTTCATACAAGTGAAAAGTCAGAAAAAACTGTAATGCCCAACAATAGGATACTAATTAAATTCTGTTTAAATACAAAGGATAAATACTATATGACAACACAACCTTTACATCGTGCTTTTGAAGTCTATTTAATGATACAGGAAAGTATGCACGAAAAAAATGTTAATCAAAAACAACATAATACAAAACTGTATACAAAGAGTATGCATTGACTGGGGTGAGGAGTTAGATGGGGGGGAAATGGATCAAAATGTTAACAGTGGTTATTAAAATTAGTTATTTTAATTTTTTTCTTTATATATTTTTTGCAGTTTTCTAATTTACTAGAAATATACTTTTTAGTCAGGAAAAAAGGATAAACATTATAAAAGGAGATTTTTGTACTCTTTCAAAGATAGCCAATATGCATACAGATACAATCTGTTATACAGGCACTCCTGGGTGAGTTATTATCTGTGTAGAACACTAGAAAACCACCAATATTACTCGCACATTATAGTATCCTATTTTACAAGAGCCTATTTTACTGTGCAAATTTATCTCAGAAGAGAAAATTGCATGTGCCCATATGTTCTGGTGCTGCAATCTCAACAATGAATTAAAGGACCAAATCTAGGTGCTTATATAACCCGGTTAAAATTGGGAGTACTTGTGTGAGGAGACTCAATTATCTCTGTTACAAAGAGCCCTTATTTATCTGCCGTGTGAGAGGCATCTGTCAAAGATAAATTCCTGTCGTTTTCAGATTCTCTTTATCCACCCTAACAAAAACCAGCCCAGGGAAATGACAGTTGAGTTGCACAAACCCCAGTGTTCAGGCTTCCTGAGAAACTTGTCTTGAAATCAGAAGTCAAATTCCTGACCTACATCAACCTTAACAAAACACATTCCCCTTCAATAAACAGCCAGACATTGATTGCTGGGTACTTCAGGATAAAGTAAAGACCTTAACTCTGTGTATTCTTTTCATGAGAGTACAACTAAGAGGTTTTATTTTCAACTTCGTATTTAAGAAAGGAAATCTGGAGCCTACCTATCTTTCCAGCCTTATCTCCTACCCAGTACCTACTCCTCCCTTAGACCACTCAGGCTATCTCCCTCAGTCAGATTGGATTACTCGATTCTCCAAACACGCTGGTGTCTTTCATCTCCATTCCTCTCTCTGGCTGCTCCTCTGCCTGCTACCACCTCAACTCTAACTGGCACCTGTTAAGATTCTACCACTCCTTCAAATGCCTGCAGGAAGCCTACCTCAATCTTCTTTTTTTTTCCCCTTTTTTACTGACCGGCAACGGGATCGCAACCCTTGGTGCTGCGTCCGCACTGCGCTCAGCCAGTGAGCGGGAACCGGTCTCCACATGGGATCCGAACCCTCGGCGGGAGCGCCGCCACGCTCCCAAGCGGCGTACCCTCCAGTGCGCCACCGGGCCAGCCCTACCTCAATCTTCTAACTGGAAAGTACTTTTCCTTCCTCGGAACTCCCACAGCGTCCTGTATCTCTCTAAAAGTACTTTCCAGAATCCCTTAAGGATGCAATGCAGGCAGTAAGAAGACCCTCGTTGCTACCAGAGACACTTATACTTGTAGCCCACGTCTGTTCCTTATTAGCTGTATCACCTTGAGCAAGTAATCTAACCTTTGATGCTCAGGCATCATCTGTAAAGTGTACCTTCCTTCTAGAGTTTTTGAGAAGATTAAATAAGAAAATTCACGTGAAGTATCTAGCAATATATATTCAACAAATGATGGGTTCCTTCTGCTCCTCCATTAAATTCTGCCATTATTAATAATTTTGTGGTACTGTTATCATTCTCCTCCCCCAGCACACATACACATGTGCACATGCACACATGTGTGACTACAAATTCCATCTAAGCAGAGCTGTGTTTTGCTCATCTCTGTAGTCTCATAGCACCAAATTCTGTGACCTACATGTATATATATATATATAGAAGGCACTAAAAAATATTTGTTGAAAAAAAGTAATTAGTATATTAAGAACATCCAAACATTTAAATCTATGTGTTAGAGCCAGAAAACCAGACGGCTTTTTTAAAGAAATAAGAATTAACCATTAAAGCATCAAATGCATTTCTCTGTGAGTAACAATCTAATTACAAATAGATCTATCAAAGTCCCAAGTCCCTGCAAACACAACAGCAAATGTGTATGGGGTGAGTACTTCAGTCGAATGGTCAGTCTGTTATTTTCCCCACATTCTCAGTTCTCATTACCTTCCAGCCTCTGAATCTCCTCAGCTGTCACTTCCAAGGTTTGATCAGAGAGGGAAGCAACTTGGATGACCTGATAGAAAAAAGAATGAAATGTGTAGATGTGTGTGTTTTTCTTTGTTTTTGAAGAGGCAATTTTGTCTTTTACAAAAGATGAGGAAACATCAAACATCAAAGATCTCCTGTTTTAAGAAGCTGTCAGTGATGACTGGAGAGTGAATCTCAGGCCCCCTTATTTTCAGGGTAGTAATTATACTGCAAATGATCATTCCAGAAGAAAAGATTCATTTAAAACATTACTCAATAAACTTAAAAGACCAAAGGGATAACTTAGGACAAGAAACATGAGAGTTTAAAGCTACATCCATATATATTCTGGTCCCAACGATGACACATTATTTCTTAAAAATGCAATATTGACTTACAGTAACATAGAATGGTATCAGCAATTCTCCATGCAATGAAAAAATAAATGTAATTACCAACACATTGACTATAGCACTTCATACCTATTGCACAGTGTTCATTTTTAAAGCAGTTTTCACAACTATGAGTCCATAAGATTCAAGATCCAACTTGAGTTACACCAATGAAACTCTTGTTTGGGGGCCAGAGGAATACCTTGTCCAAAATTTTCAAATGAAAGAAGAAAGTGACCTGCCCAGAGTAACAAAATAGCCCATGATAGAATGATTTAGAAAAAAGCTCAGTCACCGAGGAAGGGAAATCACTTTGTTTCCACAGAGAAAAAAATGTCCAAACAATTCAGAATCCAGAATTCTAGATTTTAAATATTAAGTTAAATGTACAAGGAAAAATAAAACCTAAACCATCCATTTGATGAATTAAGACACATACCACATACCAAGGAAACCTTCCATAGGTGAAATACAAAGAATCAGAAGAAACCCTCTGCACCTCTACACACATTCCCTAGAGTTGAATTTAGAAATAGTCACATAAAGTTGCACAAAATAGACAGTCTTTACTCCAATAGAAAGATCATTAAACTTACCAGTTGGGCAAAAGTTGTAACTTTTAATCTCTTGAAAAGCTCATCTTTTTTGTATCTATAATCTGAAAAGTAGGATAAGATAAATATTTATCTAGGTCTATTTTTCTTTCTTAGAACTATTAATTCTTTATAGTTGTCAAGTTATACGGTTTATCTTTCAAGTTATTTATATGCTTTTATTTTATTATCTCATTTGATCCTCAAGATATCCTCAAAATTAGATATGGCAGGTAGTATTATCATCTCTTCATTTTTCCCTTTCCTTTGCCATTAGGATGCTTAAAGCTGAATTTATAGACCACTTTTTTGTGTCTAGTGATTCGACCCCTTGCCTTTATCTTACTAGTCTACCATTGTCCTTTTCTGAAGCTGCCTCTACTTTGACCATTATTGTACTGCACACATTTTTGTAGGCAACCTGAAATGGTTTTCAGTACAATGCAGGGAGTACAAGTTTGCATTTTACAGATGAGGACAGAGACCCAGAGATGATGAGTTGCCCCAGGTCAAACAGTTGGTAAGAAGTTTTCACCCTACTATTCTGACTCCAGTTTGAAAAGAGAGCAATAATATTCCTGCGGTCACAAGCTATACTAGAGACAGGACAATACTGTTTTGTGTGAGAGCTGGGCACAAAGTTATGGCTGGTCACGATAATTTCGTAATCAGTTTCTCTTCAACTCCACTTCAGAAAAAATTAACCTACTCAGTTTTACAAGATGAAAAAATTCTAGAGTTCTGTTGTACAACCATGTGAATATACTTAACACTACTGAACCATACATTTAAAAATAGTTAAGATAGTGAATTTTATGCTGTACTTTTTTTTTTTTTTTTACCACAGTTAAAAAAAAAAAAAAAAACCACCTGGAACATCAATATTTATTTGGTGCTACCGTTACAGTTCACCTGAGTTATAGAAATAACTCAAATGTAGGTACGTCTGCACCAAATAAATATTGATGTTCCAGGTGGTTTTTTTTTTTTTTTTACCACAGTTAAAAAAAAAAAAAAAAAACCACCTGGAACATCAATATTTATTTGGTGCTACCGTTACAGTTCACTTGAGTTATAGAAATAACTCAAATGTAGGTACGTCTGCACTTGTGTCAATAATTTTTCGTATCACATTAAAGTTATTAAAAATTGAGCCAATGTCACTTTGTCCAGTATCTGTCCCATAGATGCAAGTCAAAAGTTAGCTTCTGCAAGCTTTTCTGAAGATGACTGCCAATTCTGAAGAGTTTTCAGGGTTGCACTCCGCCCCCCTTTATCCTTCCCTCTGCTTCTAGGTTTTTATATTGGTGCCACGGCTCCTTAAATACTGCCTCATTGTTTCAGAATTACTAGAGGTTAGCTCAATAACTGCTATGGCCTTCCCAGCATAAATGTCTAATAAACCGAGACTCCTAGCAACAGAGGAAAAGATTAAAGGTACTTGAGATTATTATTTACCTGGGGTTACTGATCATTTCCATAAATTTTCCAAAAAAACAGCATAGACTGGATGGTTGGTTGAGGATAATGTCAGCTTGGTTTACCAAACACCTTAAGATTCAGACTCAGAAAATGATACTACCTTAAAAACTAGCCTTCTGTAAATATATTAAGACTCCTTCTTACAAGGAATTAAAACATCTGTGTTCTAAAACATCTTAAAGAGAGCAATTTGGCAAGTAATAATAATAATAATAATTTTATTATTTAAAATAATAATTTTCTAGAAAATTCTTAGAACAGCTTCTTCTGAATATAACAAGGCAACAAACTTAGATGCAATGGAGCTTCTAAAACCTGCCAGGATGCAGATCTAAATAGGTTGAGAAGAGGCTCTGAAAAGTACAACTGAGTAATAACTACAGTGTTCCTCTCAATTGCCACCAACTTTCCCACCAAAAGTCATTTATATAAATCAAAGCAGCAATAAGTCAGCCAATAGAAACTGTTGACAGCTTTCAAGCAGTTTGCACTGTGACATTTATCCATTGATATTCTTTTGGTATGGTTACATGAAATACTTCTAAGTACAAAATGTACACATTAAAATCCCTTTTAAACAGAGACTACCTTAAACAAAAAAAACCAGGTTTGCTATATTCTATGGATTGGCATTTCTACTGTCCTCTGCATAAACACTAGAAGCCCCCTCCATATTTGAAGATGGACTCTACGTACCTGGTTCTGGTTTAGAAGGACAGCCATCAGAAGGACTTTCTGACATTATTATTCAGAGATAAAAGATCAAATTAGATGTCTTATGGTAAGTTTTAAATTTTATAAAAAGGATGACTTGGAAGGCTCTGTCAGTCTGTTCTTGTAAGAGCGAACAGAGCTTTAAGAATGGAGCTTCTGCTACTGTAGCTTCTCCCAGACTCCGTGTTGAAGACAAATCATCCTAGTTTCAGATACGTTATCAAGGTTTGCTTCTCCAGTAAGTCTAGGGTCTAAGTCTGTCTCTCTCGAGTTACTGGAAGGACAGAGACCTGACTATCTACGATGGTTCACACTGGGTCCAACCAGCGTCATCTAACCATCAGAAACCAAGAATAGGCTTTGTAAATGGTCAATAGACACAGAGTGGCTATTTTCCCCAAGTAGAATTGAAACAATATTCGGATTACAAAGGATGTCTGCGTTTTCAGGGTTCTGTTAAAATGCGTTATTAGCAGAGGGAAGTTGGGCTCACAGGGGAAGAGAAATCAAAGGAAATAATAGAACAAGGTTTGTGGTTTCACAGAAAGACATGACATCTAAGGTAATCTGAGGAAAGTCCTGGGTCTGGGGTGTCACGAAACAAGGCAATATTCTCCTCCCTTTCAACCCAAAAAAACACTAACAACAGAAAATGAGAAAAGAGAAGGAAATATCTTCCAAAAGTTAGATGCCAAACCAGAATCTAAAGTAATTCTGTCAGGGATCAGCACAAAGTGTGTGAAATAAGGTGACAGAAACCTCCTGCTGTACTAAAAGGAAGCCCATAACTTCCAAAGAGGGAAGAGGAGGTGAGCATTTTCAAGGACTCTGTTCCAAGAGAATTTCTTTTGGGAGATAATCTCCATTTAAGGTTTAGATATTAAAGAAACCACATTGTACTTTTAAGAAATGTTTTAAACAAGGTTTTGCCAATCTGGGCGGAACGGGACATTTTTATGGGACAAATTTCTGGTGAGGACATGTGAGCTCACACTCAGCTACAAATGGATGGGAGGTGGAAGAGACTACAAACCCAAATAGATGGAGGCCAGCTCGACTCTGCCTGCCTTGGGTGAATTAAGGATGACAACAACGAAGTACAGGTGAGTAAACGAGATATTTTTCATAGTTTGAAAATTTAATATATATTTTATATGTGTATTTAAAAGATACAGTCTTATAAATGTACTAGAAGAAAAGATAGGGTACTGTGACATAACATTAAAAAAAAAAATGTCTACGGCACTAGCCCTTACAGCTGAACATGGCAAATAAAAACAAAGTCAGCACAAAGCTGCTACTGTGTCCACATCTACTGTCTGGGGTTTTCCAATATCACAGCAATTAAAAAAAAACAAAACAAAAAACAACAGTATCTTTTTAAATTAAAAGGTTTGCTGTGTAAAAAAAAAAGTTCTGTTGTATTCTGGATTTGTAATTTTCTTTTCCAAGAAGATGTATGTTACCAGAGCCAAGTCCTGTACTATGATCATTCAGGGTATCTCTTTACTACCATTAGCTAAATGCTTCCCTAGCACTGGGTTCTCTTACTTAAGATATGACCAAATCCATCTTAGAAAACAGATGTTTCTAGTTCTTCTTTAATTCTGGCTTTAATCATTTTACATCAGTTTTAGACACAAATTGAAAAACTATGATTTTGTACAAGGGCAATGACTAGCAACGTATCTTTACAGAAGATTAGTTTTTTAAAAGGATGTGCATGTAATATGATTTTTAATTAAAAGAAAACAGACTGCAATGGATTGATAACACATAACACTAAGAAAAAGCTTTCTTTCTCATACCTCTAAGCCTTTCATGAATACTCTCTGATTTATACTCATAAGAATATTATGAAGAGAGATATTATACCCCATCTTAGGTATAGACAAAATAAGAAGATAGGAAAGATTAAATACCTTGAAAAAGGCCATGAAGTCTGTGGTACAATGAAACTGAAGGCTTGAGTTCTGACTGCTTAGCCAGAGCTCATTCTACCAGACCTCTCTCCACAATCCAACATTAATCTCTCCTCAGAGATATAAATCGGGTGGAACTCAGACCCACAGGCTGCAATCTTAGGAGCTGCCCAGGATGGCAGCCAGTGTCTCCCACGTCCTTTGAGGCACCTGCCAGGCTCACCTGACTCCCATTGCTCTCCGTGCATGTCAGCTACAGAGGATGGTTGCTAGTTAATAACCAACTTATAGAACAACTACAGGGTTCCACTTTCCCAAACCATCAATAGTGTTACTCACTTTTTTTGATCTCTTCTAGCTTCTCAGTGTATTTAGTCATACTGTTACCTAAAAAGAAAATAAGGACTTTAGATATGCTTTAAATGGAAGAAAATGAGTACCACTGTGAAGACAGAATGGAGAAAAAGTATTTCCTAAGTTTTCCTATCTTGTTCTTTGGAGATTCTGGACAGTAGGTCACAAGCAGGCCACACACAGTAAATAGTCTTTTGGATTACACAGCATCAGTAAAAGATGAGGAACTGAGGGAAATGTTTTGGTCAAATGTGTTAAGCTGGGGTGCATACCCAAAAGACATTCAGAAATCCCAGGCAATACAGATAATCTATTTTAAAAAATCTTTTTCAGTCAAAGCTTTCCTCCTCCTTTATTCCTCATAATCTTGTGGGGAAGATATCCAGAGGAGGAGAAAGAAAGAAGCAATGTTCTTTGGATGTCTAAAATGTGCTTCTGTGGCTACCCACGCAACCTTTTCCTCTTCGTTTTGTCCTTGTGGTTTCCTCCTCTTTCCTGAACTTGGTCTTCCACAATTCATGATCATGTTACAGCCTGAAACTAGACCACAGAGTCTGTACACTAGTATCCAACATAGATTTGATTTGCTGAGAAATACCAGCAGATTCCCACCACTGTGGAGAGTCCCCCGTCCTTGTGCTTTATAGTCTGGTTCCACAATACGAGGTTCTAGCCAAGGTGATTTGGAGAGTCTTCATACTTGAAAACTGTGCCAGCATCATTCTAGTTTCCAATTGAACTATATTATAGCTCTCAAGCTGGGGTTATTATTATTACTGGGCATGCTTAGATTTGATTCAATTCAACACAGCAAGTTCCAGAAGATATGGCAAAAGGAAAACATTCAAAATAATTTCTCATTTTTAAAACTGTACTAACTTTCTAAGCCTTGAGAGAATCTAGTCAAAGCCAGTCCCAACTTCAGATAAAAGAAATGCTCTCAATTAATAGCATGAACTGACATTTTCAAAAACTTTTCTGAACTTTTCTTCATGTTTGGGTCAGAAGTAGAGAAAGAAAATTCTTGCTCTGAAACCCAAAATAAATTTTTAAAAAACATCTTACTTCATCTGTTATTATTAAATCTTTACCATAAATTCATCATGAAATTAAAATCCACTGTTTTTTTTTTTTTTTTTTAAATCCATCTTAAGACACACATTCTTTGTATCAGGACCAGAAAGGAGGATTCTGTGTAGTCCTAGACCCAGACTGTGTCCTTCCAGAAGCTCAGAGATGAAGTCACTCAGGGCTGTTCAGAAGGCCTTAGCCTTCTCAAGAGAGACACTGAGTACCTCTGAAGAGGCCCAAATATCACAACAGAACAGGATTAGAACCAAATATGATCTTTTCTAGGTTCTTCAGACTGCAATTGACTTGAGATGTGACCAGATTTCCAGAGTAGAAGCCACGAATTCTTCTTGGACACACATCCCTCCTCCCCACTCCAACTCTGAACCCAGGAGTGGACCTGCCTGGTCAATACGATGGGAGAAGAAGACAGCAAATCAGTATCCTGTTCAGCTTCCTGTAATCTTATTCTTAAAATACTTTACACAGTAGCTTTTGGTTATATGTCCCTGAGTCCCCCCACAGTTGCATGTTGTTGAAATGGCAGTTAGTTTCTTTTGTCAAAGGAAGCTTCAGGCAGTCTAGTCAGAAAACTGAGGGCCAAAAAGGATGACTACCTGTCCAGTGACATAACAACTTAGTAACTAAGCCAGAATTTGCATTACCAACCTGCTGGTTTCTAATATGGCTCACAAAATCAGATGGCTTTTCTGGTTGTTTTTAAGCTACTTCCTTAATAGTAACAGGTGGAGACCATACTTTGCTGTAAATCCCGAGGAATGGAAAACAATAGCCAACCTCATTTACATAGTCTTTATTATTAAAACATTGTATTTCCAAACCATAACGCTTTCTACTAACAAAGTGTCTAAAATTTAATTTCCCTATTGATTATCAACATTTTCAGAGCATTTACACAGCACTTCATCAAACAAGGCTTCACGAAGTACCATGAGGTAAGCTGTACGCCTACTGCTTGTTTTTACCACTAAAGGAGAAGGCAGATAAACAAGTCTTTTGCAAATACACAGTTATACAAATATCTGGCAAAATTAAGAACAAATCTAAGAGGGTTACTGATAAGAAGCTTTTTTCATTATAGACATTCATTCTATCCAAGTAGGGGGCAAAAACAGAATTAAAGATTTCTGCATTGCTTCAATCGGAGAAACGAGACAGGGTGACGGGTGACACAAAAATCCCTAACAATGATTTTAGAAAGTATGAAAAGTGGCATTTTATCCCACTTTATACACTGCTTATATCTTAACTACATGGCTGATCTTACTATATCTAATTGCATCTGAAAATAATCTTTGACTACCTTTAAAAAGACTGGAAATGAATCAATTTCATAATTCATTTATTTATAAAAACATCTTTGTTTTATATAAAAGAAGCCTAAATGATCAAAGAACCAACTTTTAGAAAAATTTGAAACTGTACATTATGCCAGATAAATTTTTCTAGATAAGACTCTGATTAAAAGAAAAAAGGCTCCCCATTGCTTATTGACTGAAGTTTAAATGCCCTACTCAAGCACTGAAGGTGCCAACGACTTAACCTACCTCTTCAGTGTTGCCTTAATTGCTAAACCTGATAAACTCTTTGTTACCCTCTGGTTCTCTAACACATTATCATGTAGTCATAATAGTTCACCTACTAGAAAGTGACCTTTTCCTCTTCTGAACCTCCATAGTACTCAGCCTATCACTCACAAGGCATTCATCACTGTATTGTCTCATCCACTTTATTAGATGGAAAGCCCAAGATACACGCAATCTTTATCCCTTCCATTGCCTATTATAGGACACAAAATATTTGCCAAATAAAATATACTGTGAAGATTTACTATCTGAAAAATCCTTATAATTAAGTTATTTTGTAATGCAAATAATTGCACCCAATACGGTTTGAGTTTTTGCACACGATTAATTTATTTTTTAATTATTATTATTATTATTATTTTTACTGGACAGTACAGGGATCGAACCCCAGACCTTGATATCATCAGCATCATGCTCTAACCAAGCAAGCTAATAAGCCAACTACACCTGATTTTTTTGTTTGTTTGTTTTTGGCAGCTGGCCAGTATTGGAATTGAACCCATGACCTTGGTGTTATCAGCGACACACTCTCCCAAGTAAGCTAACTGGCCAGCCCTTAATTTCTGTGTTTTGGAGTTTTTTTTCCACCTGATTTTTTTAAAGCTATGTACAACCTTACTTATATACAATATATGTTATATACTACCTATGTGACACATATTGTTCCAGGACTCAGGCAACCTAGAAATGTATAAGGTGGTATTTAGCTTTTATTTTTACAACTTAAGTTGTTATAAAAGATATATAATAAATGCTACAGTTAGAATCAAGAGAAAGAAACAACTCAACTACATCAATAGTGCTATGCAAAGGCAGAGTACAACTGATTAACTGAGTGAGTCATTCATTCGATTTTTTCCATTGTTTCCCTATAATTTAATCACATCATTTGTACTGAGACTGTAAGAAAAGCAGCAGTAATTTAAACTGGATAAGATTTATAAGGCACAAACTCAGTTGCTAAGAGACAACTCTGTGGCTTTATTTTTCTTCAATATTTTCCTCCTCTACAGAGAAGTTCTTTTGGCTCGGAAGGAGCAGAAAGCATGAAAAGAGGCACAGTGGTCCTTTGTTAACCTCAGTAAGTTATACGTGTGTATATTGCTTCTGGTTTATAAAAACCTTTCACATACATTTCTTCCTTTGACGTAAGAAACACAATTAAATACCAAATAAAAAGGAAGAGTATCTAGTCTGTGAGTGTGAGTGCTTAAGATCAAGACTTTTAGCAAATATTCAGGAAAAGTAAAGACTAAAGAAGAAAAGAGAAGACAACTAGTTTGTGTAGAGATAACAAAAGGAAGGTGAAATTAAAAAAAATAAAAATAAGGCTAGAAAAGACCGTGGAGAAAGTCTACAGAATTTTGGAAAAATAAAGAAATTTGAAATTAGACTGAATATAGATTCAAATGAGAGGATAACACAGCCAACGAGAGTGTAGGGTATTAATAAAGGGAGAGCCCTGTGGTTTGGAAAGTGTCCCTTAATCAGCCTGCAGTGCTGCAGAACAGAAACCCAGAGAGGTACTTGAGAATACACAAGAACCCTGCGGTGGAGACTGAACAAAACGCCGCCAGGGATTTCATCAGAAGCATAATCCATTCATGGCACAGTCTGGCAATGCTGGGGAGCTGGTAAGATACACTCAGGCACCTATGGAACAAAAGAAATATTTGAAGTTCAAAATAATTCTGAGATTGCTAGCCATGACTGTACATCAATGTTTGGGTTTGTATAAGAAGTAGAGTCAGATGTATAGAAACAAAAAATAATCTTTACCCAGGAAGAAGATATTAAGCCTTTGAAGAACTCAGTAGAAGGTGATTTGGGTGAAGACAGGAGATAACACAAAATTTTTGATATCTTGTGATTAACTGAATTGCTCACTATTTGGTAAAAACAAAAGATTAAATACCCATCTATTTACCATAGATACGAAAAATGCTCATTCCTGTGCCTATTTTCATTGCTCTGGCTGCAAAGTTTAAAGACATACTACAGATGGGAACTCCTTATTGTTACTTGGGTTATAAGATGTTTTCTTAACGAGGACTCCTCACCTTTTTCACCTTATGGGACATATGTTAATGATAATACTTGGACAAAACGGGTTTGGGTGCCCCAGGCCAGGCTGGTTACCCAAAGAGCTGAAGGGATCCCTATCTTGGACATAACCCAAAGGCTACTGCACGCCAGGTAAAAAACTTCCTCTGGATACACAAGGAGGTAAATCATGAAAATGCACAGAAACACAAACACTAAAATAAAATCTCTCCCTTAAACTGACTTTAAAATAATTTCTAAATTGGAAACAACAAGAAAACAAACACTAGAATAAGATTTCTCTCCCACACCGACTTTAAAATACTTTGAGTTTTAAATAACAGTGTGTAATGAAGCACACTTTGGCCCTTCTAAAAGTTATTACGGAACTAGTTATGAAGACTTCTGCTTCCAGGAAGATGGGATAGATACACTTTTGTCTATTACTCTAGCTGAGTACAACAAAAACTGTGGACAACCCACAGAATGGGAAAAAATAGTTGTGAATCATATTTTTGATAAGTCTAGTATCCAGAATATATAAAAGAACACTTATAACTCAACAAAGAAGAAGGAAAATAACCCAATTTAAAAATGGGCAAATGATTTGAATAGACATTTCTCCACAGGAGATATACAAATGCCAAGAAGCACATAAAAAGGTGCTCAACATCATTATTCATTAGGAACATGCAAATTAAAACCACCATGAGATACAACTTCATGCCCACAGAGATGGCTATAATTAAAATGATGGACAATAACAAGCATTAGCAGGAATGTTGAGAAAATAGAGCCCTTCCCCAGTGCTGGTGGGAGTGTAAAGTGGTGTGGTTGCTTTGAAAAACAGTTTGGCAGTTTCTTAAAAAATTAAACACAGAGTTACCATATGACCAGCAATTCAACTCACAGGTGTATACCCAAGAGAAATGAAAACACATGTTCACACTAATGCTTGTACTCTGATGTTCACAGCAGCACTATGGCCAGAAAGTGTAAACAATACAAATGTCCATCAACTGATGAACGGATAAACAAAATGTGGAATATCTATACAATAGAATATTATTTGGCAATAAAAAGGAATGAAGTATTGACACATGCTATAACACAGATGAACCTTGAAAACATTACACTAAATGAAAAAAGCCAGACACAAAAGGCTACATATTGTATGATTCTATTTATATGAAATGTTCAGAACAGGCAAATCCACAGATACAGAAAGTTGATTAGTGGTTACTCAATATAGTAAAGATGTTAATTTTCCTCAGATTGATAAATAGGCTTAACACAATTCCTATTAAAAATAATGGCAATTTTAAAAAAATGTAAATTAGATTATTCTAAAATTTATATGGAAAGGCGAAGGAATTAGAATGTTGATTAGTGGTTACTCAATATAGTAAAGATGTTAATTTTCCTCAGATTGATAAATAGGCTTAACACAATTCCTATTAAAAATAATGGCAATTTTTAAAAAAATGTAAATTAGATTATTCTAAAATTTATATGGAAAGGCGAAGGAATTAGAATAGCTAAAATAATTTTGTAAAGAAAAAGTGGGAATAATCAGTTTACCAATTTTAAGTAACTAATTTACTACATAGCTGCTAAGACTGTATGGTATTAGTAGAGGGACAGCACATAGATCAAGGGAACAGAACAGAGAACCCAGAAATAGACCCTCATAAATATGTCCAACTGACTTCTGATGAAGTGAACACACAATTCAATGGAGGAAAGGTAACCTTTTTAACATATGGTGCTAGACCAGTTGGAAATCCATAAGCAAAAAGCTAATCTTGATCTAAGTCACAAAACATAAAAATTACTTTAAAATGTATCACGGACGTCAATGTAAAACCTAAAACCATAACTTTTAGAAAAAGATTATAATAGAAAAAAGTCACTGGGATCTAGGCTAGGCAAGTTCTTAGACTTGACAACAAAATCATGATCCATTAAAGAAAAACTGATAAAAATGGACCTCATTAAAATTAAAAATTTTTGTTCTTCAAAAGACCCTGTTAAGAGCATGAAAAGACAAGTTATAGACTGGGAAAAAATATTTGCAAACCACATATCTGACAAAGGACTAGTAACTAGAATATGTAAGGAACTCTCACAGCGAGGTGGAAATACAGGGACGGTATGGCCTAAGAGACAGTGTATCAGATCTCCAGTACTGACTTCCTCATCCTGCATACAATCCTAGATCTATCTCCTTTATTTCTCTTTCATTGAACTCTGAGTAAATAACAAAATCTCTGAGCCACAATTTCCTCCTTTTCTAAAACAGAGATAATATTTTTCACTTGTCCATCAAACAGGATATTTGCAAGTATAAGTATCTGTACAGAATGGAAATGTCTGAAAGAGAGCATGAAATAGCATCTGCAAATGTGATGTGTTTAAAACATTTAAGTCTATCTTATATGAGAAAACATGCACAATGGAAGATAATGATTTTGAAGGAGCCTAGAGAAAGGGAAAGACAAAATAAACAAGATGACTTAAAGTCAACATCCCACTTTACTTTTCTCAGTTGTCTTAAGGCTACTGGTAGAAAATTCAGTATTGCTAAAGGCATAACAGTACTCTATTCCACTAGCAAAACCATCTCAATAGGATGGATTTTCCACAGCAGGCTTTAAAAGGTTGAAAAAAAAAAAAATTAACAAGTAAACAACTAAAACCACACAAGACTGCAAATTCACTAAGGTCTGGGCAGCAGTCTTTATCACGACAGTGAAAAATGGGAAGCACATGGAAAGCAGCAGTTCATTTTACCTGAACCGTAGCACTAATTAAATTTTGTCTGGTATTTTAGTTACTCATTCAAGTCTGTCCGCCTCCACTTGAATCTAAGCTCTTTGCAAAAACGACAAATTCACTCTCATCTTTATATCTCCCATAGCCTTAAATTCTGCAAACATGGAAATGAACAAACATGCACATGTATAATCTATCACTGACCGTTTAAAGGAATATACTTAGGATGTTCCAAAATAGAGGCTGAACTCCTAATATTTATTTAGTTAGCTTCAGCCCTGCAACTCATTGAACAATGGTTTCAATTTCTGGGATTTCATTTTCTCAGTTTATATTATTTCTTATGTAGTTAGGAATAATAAGCTAAATGATATGAATGCAAATTTTTACTGATAATCTGAAAAACAGCTTTCAAAGATAAATCCTGAGCCCAGAAAGGCGTCAGGCAAGACAGTGAGAAACTTCTGGCTGTGATTTATACCAGGTATGACAGGTGGCTTCCTGTCAATAGTTAGTTATTGGATAAAAAAAATAAAGTTCTAATTTTCTAATATTTACTCACCAGTATCCAATCTTGACTTGACATGCTGATACTTCGGGTTCTGTGGTATCCTTTTGGTCAGATACTAAAAAATAAGAAAATTCACAATGAATTGGGTTAATGTAAGTATAAGGGTGGCAAAGTCAGGAAAGAGTCAGATACTTAAAAAATGGAACAAATGCTAAAACTTCATAGAATGTAAAGATGGAAGAAGTTCTAGAGGTCCAACTGTTCCTTCACCACAGGACTCTTCTCTACATATAGCATCTCCACAGGTAAAAAATTATCTTGTTTCTGTCAAAACACTTCCATAGTTTGTCAAAATTGTCTCAGAGCACTATGTGATAAGAAAAAAAAGGTCTCAAAAATTATGTTTTCAAATGTCTTACATTGAGCCAAGATCAGGCTTCCTCCAATTTCCATTCAGTCCACTGTTTCAACCTATCCTAAGTCACACACCTCTGCCTCAAATAATCTGTTAAAATAACTGAAGGCAGCTATCCTGTCCCTCTTTCTATTTCGCTCTTTGCATGATGGTTTCTAAGCTATTTCCTCTGGACACTGGACACCCTCTAGGTCTTATCCACATCTCCCCTAAAAAGCGGCAGGCAGGATCCAGGCCTGAGCACAATCCTGCAGATGTTGTCAGGACAGGACCCACTTTGGCAGGCTCTCCCGCTGCTTCACTGCAGGCTGTGGCTCCACACATGTCACTATTATGGCATCTGCTCTTGTGGCACCTAAGGCTCATCTCGGGCTCAGGGTAAGTTTATGGTCAGCAAAAATGCCTATGTCAGGTCTCTCTTGTGCTGAGTTAAAGAGTTAACTTTGGTGGTTAACTCTTTGAATCCAAGCACAGGACATTAACCCACGTTAAATTCCAGTGGCAACTGCAAAAGCCATTAAGTGAGGGAAGGCTAATGAATAAAGACATTACAAATACAGCTTTCTTGCGCAGGCCTTTTTCTGGCCCATAAGTATAAAAATCATTATGCTCAGTAGCAGTTATCTATGGACTATGAAATTAAAACTGGGTAATACCTTTTTGCCTTCATCTTCTGCCATTATCCCACTTGTTCTCATGTTGAAGTTGCTGGGAATGTCCCCCTGAGGTATCACACTCATTCAGGTCTCTACTCTTAGCAGGGGTGGGTCTGCCTAAAATGCCTTTCCTCAACTTGTCCTTCGGCAAAATTTATTTCCTCTGTAAAGCTGTTCAGTTTGGAATTAGGCCCTTTCTTCTCCCAGGCTCCCAGAGTACTGACACGCTGAACCATTGTTTGCACCTCAATCTTCTTCCCTAGTCTAGGATTTCCTTGATGTCAGGGACAATAACTTACTCATATTTGTATCTGTCCCGGACTTAGTGCATGGTAGGAACATTTATTGAATATCTAGGATGAGGACTGTATTACAGCAACTATCTGGTTTCTTAGAAGAGAACATCAAACTTACAAAAACTACATCATTCACCTTTAAAAACGTAATTAACTACAATATACCCTGTTGGGAGGATTACAAAATAAATCACTTACATATAAAAGAACCTTCTGAAATGACCCACAAAGCACAAAAACAATATAGCATACTTTGATGTCTTACAAAGTATCTGTTGGCCAGAGTTTTGGATATCACGGACCAGGAAGAAATTTTAAAAACTGTAGGCAACTACAGAGATATCAACTTTTCATTTTGCCAAATAAGGACATAAAAAACAAAAACAAAGCAAAACTTCACAACTATAATTTGCTGTTTTAATACCTAAAAGGTAAGAAAGAAATAAAAAAGAAAAACCCAGAGTAAAAAAATCTCAGAGTCCTTCAGTGTTATTTTTAAAACTCATGACGTTCTCTGTGTTTTTCACTGACTTCACTCAGGCAAGTAAAATCTTTATCACAAATGCTTAGTATTGGTCCTCAGACTGTGTTGGAACCACTGAGCCATTTTATCTTTAGAAAAAGACTGGAAAGTTCATTTCTCCATATGACTAGGAACCCACTGTGTATAACAGAAAGTGACTATAACACCAGTTCCAATTCCTTCCCTAAACAAATATGGAGAAGATTCTTAAGTAAGAGAAGGAAAACATACAAAGACTGAAAAGGGAGACTTCGGGACAAATTCCCCATAGGGAGACACTATCATGGCAAAATAAAACAAAGAACCAGGGAAAACATGTGCCTGGTAAATTGACTCAAGTAAAGCTAATACTAGACTTCAGTTATCTTAGGCTAAGGGACTGGGGTTTTTTTTGTTTGTTTGTTTTCACTCTGTATTTTTATCATTTCTATACTCTATTTCCTGTTTTTACTTTTGTTTTGTTTTTCCCACTAGTTTCCTAGCAAATCTTCTTTTGAAAAATTCCAGGCTAGTCTCTGCTGAACCAAGGGGATTTGGCCATACCTAAGCCAAAATAGCTAAGAAGTGAGGGTGTCCCTGGGGACCAGGTGTGGTGGCAGCAGAATGATGAGGGGAGAGAGTGTGGACAGCTGCAGTGGCTGAGCCCTTCCGGCCCCCGGTTTTCCCTTACACAGACTAATGAGAAATCCATATGCTACAGGACAAAAAGGTAGCACTTCTTTTCCACGTTCCCATTTCAGTCCAATTTCTTGTTCCTGACTTTCTAATAGCAACCACACCATAAAACTACTTGTGCTCCATTGCAAAGCAGAGCATCACAGATTTTACAGACCTACCATACTTTTTTCTTTCAAGTTCTTGATTTTGAGGTGACTGCTTCTTGACCTACTGGCCAACTGGCTTTCTTTCAATTACATAAACAGGATGGAATAGGGGGAAGTGAAAGAGCTGAGAAAAGAAGCTGTTTCAAGGAAGACTATTCATTCATTCAACAAAGACTCATTGAGCACCAACCACTCATTCAGTCGACAATTGACTGAGCGCCTACTAGGAGTAGGACCCTGTGCTGATGACACAGAGGTGAAAAACACCGTCCTTGCCATCCAGCTCTTACTGACTGTGGGGACGATGGACAAGTGAATAAACAGATGCCAAACTGCATGATGAACAGGAGAGGGAGGTAGGGGATGTGGTGGGAACATATAGGATTGGCACCTAATCCAGACTAAAAGAGTCAAGAACCGTTTCCTGAAGGGTGACTTCTGAGCTGAATTCTGAGAGCCAAAGACATTAGTCAAGGAGTAGTGGGTGGGAGCTACAAGGTTCCCAGCAGAGGGAAAAGCATGGGGAAAACATAAGGACTAGAGAAAGTATGGACAATTTTAAGAAGTCTAACAGTAACTGGCGGACCGGGAGCATAGGGGGACAATATGGGTACAAATGATGCTGGAGAGGCAGGCAGGGGTAGATCACAAAGGGCCTGTATACACACTGAGACGCTTGGATTTTATCCAGTAGATCAGTGGATCTCAAATGTGCAATTTTGCTCTCCCTATCCCTAGTGACATTTGTCAATGTCTAGAGATATTTTTGGTTATCAAAACTGGGGGGTGGGGGTGTGCTAAGGCATCTAGAGGCTAGAGATGCTGCTAAACATCCTACAATGACACAACAGCCCTCAAAACAAAGAATTAGGCAGCCCAAATGTCAATAGTGCTGAAGTTGAGAAACCCTGTTGAAGATGATGGGGAGTCACTGAACAGGATTTAAAGAGGAGTAATGACATGATATTTCCATTTCAGAAAGATGACTCTAGCAGCAATATGGAGAATGCGAGTCAAGAATAGAGGCACAAAAATCAGTTAAGAGACTGTTATGTTAAGATGATCTGTAGTCCTAAGGAAGTGGCAATAGAGATGAAGAGGAAGAGAGAGTTTCAGGAAATTTTCAAAATGTAAAATCAATGAGACTTAAAATTGACTGGTGTAACAAGAATAAACAGTGATACCATTCTCTAAAAAAGGGAGTTAAGGAGGAGGCATATATTGAAAAACAATGTGTTCAGTTTGGGGCATGTCAAGTACGAGATATCTGTGGGTTATCCAAAATGGAAGTGTCCAGCTGCTATTTGGGTCTGGAGATCAGGATAGAGACGTGGGCTAGAAAAAAACCCCAAGATTTAGAAGTTGTCAGTACACAGGCAGCAGATGAAGCCATGGGAATGGACTAGATCACCCTAGAAGAGAGTGTAGATTGACAAGAAAAACTGCATTATTTAAGGTTAGGTGGAGAAGAGGCACCTTGGATGAGACTCAGAAGAGGCTGTAACACAGTGGTTCATGAATTGTTGCAGGAAGAAGGGAGTGGTGAACAGTGAACAGTACGGTCAAGTCAGAGAGCAAGAGGTCAAGTATGAACAAGTGAACAAAGATGCAGGTCAAGTAAGAGACCACCAGAAACGTAAATTTGGATTTAGCAAACCAAGACACTGTGGATGGCCCCAGTGGAAGGAGTTATAGTAAATTGACAGGGACAGGGGCAGAAGCAAAAACAGCGGGCTGAGTGTATGAGAGGGGAGGAAGGAAAGAAGAGGACACTAGCCAGGTGGTCTTTTTTTCCCCCTCGAGTTGCTAAGGGGTGATCTTTGTTGTTGTTTGGTTTAAAAAAAAAAAAGAGATATTTGGGGATGTTTATAGACTAAAGGGCAAGATAAGAGAAGCTGAAAATAGGGCAGGAAGGCAAGGAAAGAGAATAGGAGAGGACGAAGCCCAGAGCCTAGGTAGAAGGGTCAGCTGCAGATATATATTTAAGATAAAGATATAAGATAGGTAGTCATAATGAAGTTCACCAGGAGGAGGCAGGAAGATAGTTCATGTTTGTGGTATTATTACAGGCTCTTTGAGACCAACCAAAAATGTCAAAAGACCCTTTGAGAGGTTACATCTCTAGGGAGAGTCAAAGGATAATGCCCTCTCTGTCTACCCACCCTATCCCAGCGACTTAACTTCAAGTTGACTTTCAAGACCCAGCACACACATATCTTCTAAGAAGAACGCTCTTGGGGCTGGCCCGGTGGCGCACTGCTATAGTGCACCGCTTGGGAGTGTGGTGGCGCTCCCACCAAGGGTTCGGATCCCACATACAGACTGGTTCCCGCTCACTGGCTGAGCGAGGCGCGGGAGCAACACCCAGGGGTGCGGTCCTGTTGC